AGTGGAGTTACAGGTTTGGGGGAGGAAAATTACACAGGTAAAGTGCCATTTTCATCACATCATATAAAGGGCACATACTATAAACATGAAGTAGTGTTTGTGTTGTTCTCCACTGTCAGGTTACTTCCCTCACCCCATTTCCATACTGTTCTGTTTGTAAGGAAGTCACTCTGTACAGCCTGTACCTAAGGAATGGGGAGTTATACTCGCTCTGCCCATTTTTATTATTGAGTTATGAGAATTCTTTATATATTCTAAATATAGATCCTTTATCAGATAGATGATTTACAGATATTTTCCCCCACCAGTGGGTTGCCTGCCTTTTCACTTCTTGGTTTTCCTTTGAAGCACAAAAGATTTTAGTTTTGATGAAGTTCAATTTATCAGTCTTCTTTTTATCACTTGTATTTCAGCATCTTAGCTAAGAACTCTTTACCAATATCATTAAGAAATACTCTTGTGTTTACTTCTAAGAGTTTTATAGTTTCAGCTCTTACATTTACGCCTCTGATCTACATTGAGTTAATTTTTGTGTATGATATAAGACAGGATCCAAATTTATTCATTTGCATGTGGGTATCCAGTTACCCCAGCACCATTCACCATTTGTTGAAAAGCTGCTTTGTCAAAAATCTGTTGACTAACTATATGTGTTAGAGTTTATTTCTGGGCATTCAGTTCTAATTCTCTTGCTCTTTATGTCTGTCCTGTGCCAGGACTGGACTGTTTCCATTACTGCAACTTTGTTTTTGAAATCAGGAAGCATGAGGGGCGCCTGGGTGGCTCAGTTGGTTAAGCGACCAACTGCAGCTCAGGTCATGATCTCGCAGTTTGTGAGTTCGAGCCCCGCTTTGGGCTCTGTGCTGACAGCTCAGAGCCTGGAGCCTGCTTCAGATTCTGTGTCTCCCTCTCTCTCTACCCCTCCCCTGCTCATGCTCTGTGTCTCTCCATCTCTCAATAATAAATAAACGTTAAAAAAATTTAGAAAAAAAAAGGAAGCATGAGTCTCCCATCTTTGTTCTTTTTCAAGATCATTTTGGCTATTATGTGTCCCTTGGCATTTAAAAAAAAAAATTTTTTTTTTTAATGTTTATTTTTGAGAGAGACAGAGAGACAGAGTGAGAGCAGGGGAGGGGCAGAGAGAGAGGGAGACACAATCTGAAGCAGGCTCCAGGCTCCGAGCTGTCAACACAGAGCCCAACATGGTGCTGGAACTCACAAACCGCAAGATAATGACTTGAGCCGAAGTCGGAGGCTTAACTGATTGAGCCATCCAAGTGCCCTTCCCTTGCATTTTTATTTGAGTTTCAGGATTAGTTTGTCAAATTCTGCAAACATAAACACTTTTTCAATGGTTATAAAACTACAAATCTAAGGACCTTCAGCTGAGGTAATGAAATGCCTGTGATTCTAAAATGGGCACATACCTCACAGAACACATGTTTCACCCTCCAATATACATATGTACTTTTTTTTTTATTATTAGCATTTTCTTTATCCATTCATTCATCAGTGGATATTTAGGGTTGTTTCCATGTCTCACTCTGTAAATAATGCTGCAGTAAACATGGGGGTACACATATCTTTTTAGAATAGTGATTTCATTTCTTTTCAATATATACCCAGAAGTGAAGTTTCTGGATGGGAGTATACCTAATACTTTCAACAACTTTCCTAACTTCATTCAGACAACATCTATCATTTACCTGATATGTGCCGAGGTCAGTGTTGGGTATTAGGTCCTCAGTGATTATTAAGCTCCTGCTTCTTTGGGAGCCTGGGTGGCTCAGTCAGTTAAGCATCTGACACTGGATTTTAGCTCAGGTCATGATCTCATGGCTTGTGAGATCAAGCCCCACGTCAGGCTCTGCACTGACAATGTGGAACCTGCTTGGGATTCTCTCTCCCTCCCTCTCTGCCCCTCTCCTGCATTCTCTCTCTCTCTGTCAATAAATAAACGTGTAAAATAAAATGAAATGAAATTCTTTGAGATTTCAAAGTCAATGTGGTTAATTAAAA